GCCGAGGGGCTGGATGCTCACCACCCCGTGAGAGCTGCCGTGTCTGACAGCGCTTACCTGGCTCTGTCCTGAAAATAACTGTGCAACTGGCATCAAAGCTTTGGCTTCCCTCCCCGGCCCCGCACAAGTTGTGCCTGTGCACCTGAACACTTCTTTTAAAGACTTCTATGAAAATTTGGTTCTGCACAATTTTAGCCACGTACTAATTTCCACATAGAACTGTGGAAAATAAATGTGTCGTGTCATTTTTCATGTAAAATTGTTTCATACCAGTTACACCTTTCTGCTTCATTCGCAGAAACTGAAAACACAGCAAATTTTGTCCTGAAAGAGTCTGCGTCTGTTAAAAACTTTTTCTATCCATTTTTGCGTTACGAATATACAGTAAGAATGCAAACCCTGCAACCTCTTAATGTCTGGCAGCAAACAGATGTTGATAGTTTGAAGGTGAATGCAGTTCTAATGAAACCCCTGTGTATCACAACAGCCGTACGTTGCAGCAGAACCCATGGCTCATTTTTAGCAATAGTAACCAAAAGCCACTCTACAGCAGATTAAGCAACTAATATAGTGAAGGCTTCTGAAACAAGAAGAAAGGCGATATCCACAGCTGGAACACATTAAGGAGATCTCCCGTCTTATTAAGAAGTTAAAACAGGTATTGGTAAATTATATACAGTACTTTTACTTTACACTGAAAATAAAGTAACTCGAAGGGTGAAATAAGATATTCCCCTCTTTCATAACCAAGCAGCATTGCAAGGCTACCCACTTTGTCTCCAATAAAATCTGAACCTGTGATAAACTGTGTCCTCCAAACCTGGACAAACAGAACCAAACCCTCCGATCTGTTTGCACGGCTCCTTGCCACTCGCAGCAACTATGTGAAGAAAGCAAATATTTTAAATACATTCTGCATCTCAATTACATGTTTAATCATTACCCAGCCGCAGAAGAATCCATGGAGTGCACAAAAAAACATTTATTTGCCCCGAGTCGGGAAGGAAACTCTGACAGGTGATGAGAGGACAAGGACGTGCCTGGGGTGTCCTTACACTGCAGGACCCAAACAGCTCGAGGCTCCCAGGAGGCTGGTGCCACCCGCCACAGCCCAGAGAAGCCCCGGGGCTGCTCCAATTTACACAGGGATTGCTTGTCCCTGCGGCAGCCTTTATGAACAGAGAACACCAAAGCAAAATTTAAACCACCTATTCAGCCTTCCTCCCTCTCCACACCTGCTCGGTGTCTTCCCTTGTTGTACCCAAGGACGTAACTTCTTTTCTTGCCATCTTACTGTATTAAAAACATGTGCAGATCAGCAATCTGACATTAAAAAAGAACAAGTAAAGAAGTTGATCTATCTCCTCCGACAAGTTGCATAGCAAGTATCTTTACTCATGACAGGCAACCAGTGTGCTGAACTGGCACTCCGTTAAATCCAGAATGCAATTCTGTAAGAACTCTCTCTTTTGCTACAGCTTTTGCAAGACTAGTTGTCAGTGCTCTCCGGTGGTATCGGAGGACGGCCTGTGGTGCTCAGCGCAACCTGAGAACGGGTTATTGGCGCGGCGCGGGCCGGCGACCCTCGCCTGGTGGCTGCAGCCTAACTGCTGCCCGCGGAGGAGCAGACGGAGCTGCACATGTTCAAGTTGGAGGTCTCAGACTCGGCCTCCGTCTCGGCTTCGTCGGTGGTCTCGGGGGGCGACGCAGACTCGCTCGTCTGTTCTTGGCTCTTCTTTAGCCTGTGCGGAGCGGAGGAACCAGGTGTTACACAGTCATCCCCAGATCAGACACCCCACAGAAGGAGTGGTGTGAAGGTGGCCTACAGCAGCCAGCGTGCCCCAGGCTGCCCACGCACCACTCCTCATGAGGTGCCTACGGCAGACCCGTGGTAAACATGCGCTTTCCAGAGCACACACAGAGCACATAAAAGGTCATGACAGGGACCGACATATCAGCAAAACACACCAAAACACTCTGAAATACTCCGCAGTGACCTGCAAAGCTTCAGCTTTCAGGAGCACTGCCCACCCAGACCTTGTCCACAAGTGCCCTGTGCCGTGGCCAGGGCAGCAGGCTCTCTGCCACGCACTGCCTCCTCCACCGAGGCTGTCTCCTGTTTAACTTATGAAGCAAATGTTCCCATGTCAGCGTGCTCAAACATGGGGGAAAGCAGCTGCTTTAACTCCAGTGCTTTCACTGCCCGCTCATGCCCTGTAGAGATTTTAGCACCTTCCTTGCCTTCATTTTCCAAAATATCATCCTCCAAAAGCAGGATGGATGAGAAGATGCAGCGGGGGAACTGAAGCAGTGTCACATAAGTATGTTAAATCCCAGAAGTCTCGCTGCAGCATATTTTATTTAATGGCAGTGATTAATAATCCCTGACCTTGTCTCCCTTTTAGGTGAGAACTGCTTTTCATACAGAGGCAGCACCTAAGCTGCTCAGCTGATGTCAGTCACCAAGGGCTAAGCCCGCAGCAAGATGCTCCCGGCCATCAGGCACTGGCACTCTGATTCCTAAGGGAAGTCAAGAAAAAGAGTATTTTTTCTTTCAAAAAAATTACCCCCGCACACTCACTTCTCTCTGTTAAAGATGACAAAATCTTGCTGGATAGCTTCAAGGCATTCTTGGAGATAGTCATTTTCCTGTTGAAGAAAAACAATACATGCATAAGCAGTCTCATTCGCATCTCATTGCTGCCTGCAGCATCACAGTGCTTCCAGCTGTAGGCACAGAGCCTCCCAGCCACCAGAAACTTCAACCGAAACAGATGATGGAAACAGCATAGCTGACTGCCTTCATGGCTTTCACCGGTGGCTTGTTTCATCTGCGGCGAGCAGAGTTTTCCATAAAACACAGATAGCACACAGTTTTTCAGATAAACACAACACATTTATCTGTGTGTTCTGGTTTTGGGAGTGCTATCTGCCCATAGGAAGGAAAGCCAGCGCAGGGGAGAGATCACCACAAAGCCTGCGCCTGTGAGTCCTTGCAAGAACAAGGCATAAACCTGCCGCCTTGTCCCACAGACGGCTGCTCCCCCGTGGCCAGCTGGCCCGGCCCAGGGGATGTGCAGGTACGCTGGCTGCATGCATGCCGGGAAGCTGTCAGCACCCACAGGGCAGGAGGGAAACGCGGGTGTGCAGACAGCCCACACTTCCCGATTTCCGCCTTTATTTTACCTCCTGCATCACCTCTGTCTAGGTGCAGAGACCTCCTCTGAAGCCGGATGCTGTTGCTCCACTCCACCTCCAACCGAAGCAGGGATGCCCATCCCCTGCCCAGGCAAAGTCTCGCCCAGCTCTCGTGCCGCCCGTGCACCCCCAGCCACAGGCCATGGCCACAGTGAGGGACGGGCTCCTGTCCAACACCTGCGTGGGCGGCTGGCGATCAGCCGTGGGTCCTGGCAGGCAAAGTGCCCTTAACTGTCTTGGCAGCAAAACCTTAGAAAGGTATTTGCAAATATGCTTATTCTGTTTTTTCCTCCCTCGCTTCCCGATTTATTCTTCAGCATTTACAGTAAGTCTCACTGATCGCAGCATTAACTCCCGCTGAAGAGGGAAGTGATCCATTGCAGTTAACTGGCGCAGACAACGAGACAGGCAAAATGCTGCCTGGCGCTCCCTGCTGCTCTCAGACAGCGAGGTTAGGCCTCGCTGCAGGGAGCAATGTTTATTCCCTTAGTCTGGGATTTGCGCAGCTCAGATGCACTGCGCAGGGGAAGCAGGGACAGGGGGTGATGCACGTTTGCTCTCACAGGCCTCCCCAGCACACCACCCTACCTGCAAACACCCCTTACAAAACCCTAGTTTCTGCAGGACCGAGTGCCTGCTCTGCTGCGTAAGGAGCTGGGACGTGTCTGCTCTATAAAACCGAGATTCTTGTATTTATCTACCCAGTGATATAAAAGCACCGTGACTCCCACAGTGAAAAGAAGAAACAAATGCATCTCATCTCTAGCTTAATTTCCTGGCTAATGGATTCCTCTCTGCAGAAAGCACTCGCGGGCACACTGGCACACTTCTCCCACACTCACGTGCCAGCCTCCCCAGCTGGCACAGCCAGAGCTTGCCCCAGCACAGGAGCCCGGCAGAGCCGTGGGGCTTACCCAGCCGCCCAGCTCACGCGGTGAGAGAAAACATGGGATAGCTACCCAAAAATGGGAATGACTGGCCAGATGTTTCTGCGTGGCCATCATCAGTGCTTGGATAAACTACTACTGTGTAACCCCATCGACCAGCTGCCACAGACACTGGTCAGCGCCTCTTGGAAAGGTGAAGATCATATGGACATGTACTTTTTTTTAGTTTTTCTCTTGACCGGTGTGCCCAGACCTCTGTTTCTCATTTCACTTTCCGAAGTACAGATTACCATGAAAGAGTTTTATCAAACTTACGTAAGAGGAACATATGGCGGTCGGGAAGACTCCATTGGGCAAATGTTTTTATCAAAATAAATCTGCAGTTACTGCATTGTCTCAGTAATTGCTGCTATACATCCCCAAATTCAGCAGCGCAGTCTTTTTTCCCAGCTGGCTGTTACCCTGGAAAGCACTTACAGACTGTGAGCTGTCTTTGCTGTTATCCCTCGACTTGTTCTTTGCAAGCCTCTTCTTCTTCTTGTGCAAGGGCCTCGACTCCAGAATCATCTCCTCCAGCTCAAAGGTGGGGTCGCAGTGCAGACGGCCCTTCTGCCGGGACACACGACATGACACCATGCGCATTAGGCACAGCAGAGACTCTCTCGCAGCAAATACACTCAGAAACTACTTCTCTGTCAGAAAGCCTCTGCTGAATGCAGCGGTTCCTCTAATGATGAGAACTGACCCTGCTCAGGGCCAGGACACAGATCGCTCCTACTCACGTTGGGGACAAAGCCCGGCTCCACCCGCTTCTCGCAGACGTCGCTCCAGACCACGCCGGACAAGTACGCCGAGGCCTGAACATCGGCTAGGCAGGAAAAGCGATGCTCAGGGTTCACCGTCAGCAGCTGGGGAAAGAAAAGCATTCCCGTGAGAAGAGAAAGAAAAGGAGCCCAGCATCATCCTGCCTTTTGGATGCACTCAGATGGTTCAGCCACACAGCAACCTTTCTGTCATGGGAAATATGTAACAGACTATAGAAAAAAAACACATTAGAAAAATGTTCTGGAGGTTATGAAACCAGACGGCCAAAAATTCGGCACTGTGAGCACTCGGACTAGTGCGGGTTTGCTTCTCCCATGCCTACCTACAACGCACGACCCTTCACCACAGCACCTGGGTGCTGCCGCCCCAGTGCAGTCCTCCCCATGCCGGGGACAGACCTTGCTCCCTTGTAAAGACATTGATGCCCCCAGAGGTTCATCGGTTCAGTTTCAATGTCCACATGTCCTATTTTCACACCACATCTGTGACACCAGGGGATACTACTCCGTTTATCACACACATGGATTACTATGCCCAGAGAAAAAAAAATGATTGCTTGATCCACTGAGACATCAGTCTGAGGACAGATCTGATTTTTCAAAGAATTCAGCACTGTGTACCATGCTGTACACTCAGCTGACTTGAGTTACAGCTTCCAGGACTGCTAGAGGTATGCCTAACGTAGAGATATGTCTGACGTGGAGGTATGTATGTCTAACACGGAGGTACATCTAACGTGGAGGTACATCTAACATGGGATCTGGGTAGGGCTTCCAGAAAATTCTGTACCTGGTCTCACCCTGTGAAACTCTTCACTGAAGCTCAGTTGATGCCACCTTTGCAGTGCATCCTCAGAGCCCCGTGTGCATCCCTCCTCTCCCAAGTGCGGGACGCTCATGGTGGGTGACTTGCACCCACCCTCGCCCCTCTCCAGGAGCTGGCCCCCCTGTTTGCCTGTGCCACTGCCACAGGCGCTGGAGCCGCACCCCACCTTTGGACCAGTTCTTGCCATTCTTCCAGAGCACTTAGAATTTGAGTCCTGTCCTCCAAGCCCACCCCAGCTCGGTTTTGGGCATCCGCAAACTCAGCGTGTATGGTCTCCCTACTGATGGACACCTATGGTGGGACCTCTACAAAATTCCCATCTAGGACTGTTTCCTTCAAAAAAGGCAGCATAATTCTAGGCACACTAATTATAGGTGGCTACAGCCTTTTTGCAGGAAATAAAGTCAGCACTGAGTATTTTTCCAATGCCAAAGGTAACTATGCAAGAAGCAGGTAATGGTGACTGTACTTACAGCCTGCCAAGCATCCAAGCATGGGATGCTTGTGAAGGGTACGGGGTAAGACCACCTTGACCAGCAACTGCCGCCTGGAGAACTTTTCAGGCACTTTTTCACAGCATAAAATCATCTTCATAGAATCATAGAATCATTAAGGTTGGAAGAGACCTCTGAGATCATCAAGTCCAACCGTCAACCCAACACCACCATGCCCACTAAACCATGTCCCTAAGCGCCTCATCTACACGTCTTTTAAATACCTCCAGGGTTGGTGACTCAACCACTTCCCTGGGCAGCCTG